GAGCAGGAAGTAAACCGAAAATGAGTCAGTACGCTTACCGTAGCACGTCAGCACATACAGACCTGTTTTTCGGTTTTTTTCTCCACATTACATATATGAGGCTATATGCTCTAAAGCTACTAGTTTGAGTTATTCTCAAAAGTTTGACTTTAATCTTTTTTAAAATCTATAATTTATTTTATTTTTAAATGAAAAATGACGTCCATGTGACCTTGTGGTTGCACAGATATCAGAGACAGAAGAGAGGAAGATATCAGAGGAGGAAGAAGGAGAGGATGACAAACTCAATAATCAATCGTTTGTGTGTCAGTTCAATTTTATTTCTTTCTCATCTAATTGGAACATGATCACTCATTGACATCACTGAACAAAGAACACCAGTTCCAATGATAAAAGTCAGAAAGAAACAAAAACTCAAACATGTCATTGTTGGGGAATCACTTGTTTCTTCTTTAATGTCTTCACTTACGCTGTTCTTGGGAAATTGTGTGATATTTATTGATCTGCAGTTACTGTCAATGTAATGCAATGTCACAGTAATCTGATTACAGTTCAGCTCATCAGACGTTTGGTATTGATCGTGTCCTCGTTGTCCAGTTTGTCCAGTTGAACATCAAACGGGTTTTAGGGCAGATGAGTCGGATGGATGCAGATTAAAAGAAAGAAAAAAAACTATTAGCTCTGATCAGAAGAGTCATAAGGAGACATAAATATTGATCATAAATCCACACAAACAGTCCTCACTGCAGATTAAAGATGATTATTGATCAGAATAATCCAATAAAACCTTCTTGTTATAAAGATTTAGAAACTGAAGAAGTGCACTTTGTTTTAAATCACAGCTGGTCTCATTTAATGAGACGAAGAACAAAAGATAAATGTGTGCATATTAAAACATCAAATTTCCCACCGTATCCCAGAATGGTTGGCTTCAGTCACATGTCACCTTTGATTTGACATCATGCTAATCAATCAGCTCGTTCACATCCATCAATAAATCAATACACCACATCCATCACATCATTTCTTTCCACTGTCCCAAAAACTCACACTGTCACATGACCTTCAGTTGACCTTTAGGTTACTTTCAGTAATGTGAAGAGTGTCTGTCAGTAACATCAGTAATGTAAA